TTCCTCTTGTGCTGCATTAAATATAATCTTGAAACCACCCCTGCTCTAGTTGTCTCTAGCTCTTAGCATCTTTTCTCTCTCTTGTTTCAAAAGCAGACCAGCAATTGCAAAAGGTGGAGCACGATGACCAAGAGAATTGAAAGACCTGTCTCAGTGACTATTTTTATAAACTCTTCTTACGTACCGAGCTAGGTGTGTTTAGAGATGATTTAAAGAACTGTAAAACAAGAGTCAAATCTGAATAAGAAGAGATACACACAAATTAAAAAAATAAAAGTATAAGGCAAGGCAGAACGGAGAAATGGCAAATGTATAATAGAATCTTTGATGCTAAAGTGGCAAGTGGGTGTTTCCTGGTTCCTGGATTCTGCTTTAGGGCTCCTCTAATGTCACATGACCCAACTGAACCAGGAAGCCTCTAGGATAAGCTCAACAAACCCACCTTTACTAATTCCCACTCTTGTGGGTTAAAGGGTCAGGGTATGGAGCTCTGCCACTTCTGAGTAGCCAATTGTGTGGACCATGCAGGGACACACATACCATGGGGACAACGAACAGATATTTTTGGGAATAAGTGCTCCCCTTCACATTTTCTAAATTCATCTTCTTAATTTTTCTCCTCAGATGAATCCAGTTAATCTTTATAGGAGTTTAAAAAGATGAAACATTTTAACTTACCATGCAAAGGGAAAACTGCCTGGACGCCGAAATAGAGAGAGCACCTGAAATAATAAACTGTAGAAAAAGAAAATTTATTTGTGAGATGATGGTTCTTTGTTCCTGGGAACTTCTCTTTATGGGAAAGGTTGGTCTATTTATATTCATCTAGTTTCCCTCTTATAAAAACTCCTCTCCTCCTTAGTTTTCTGGAGTAACTCTCAGATATTATATCATTTTTACTGTTTTCTTTTCCTCCTTAGTTTCTTGCTCATGAAGAACTCACTCCCTTGTAAGCATTCCTTATTCATATGACTTCTGAGCTCACTGCTCAATCTCTTCTTGTGATCAGTTGCATGTTTTTTAAATCATATTCCCAAATCACCTCTTTTTACTATTCTCTACCCAACACATACATTTCCATCTAAAATGTAGTAGGGAACTAACGCGTTGGCTTGCTCATTACTTGATAGGAGTAAACTTGAGGGTATGAGTTTAAGCAGTCAGTGAAAAGTGAACAAAAACCCTCCCTTATTTATACCCAATGTGAGCTGTTATTTCTCAGTTCTCCCACTAATCAGATGTAGGACTTATCATGAAAATGAGAGCAAATCGACTAGGGATAAATATATTTATAAACTGAGGGATAAATAAAGTTATAAACTGAGGAGAAGTGTTCTAGCAGTCTACTCACAGAGAGGCCACCCCAGAATGGATATCCGCTAACGAAAGTTGCAGAAGCAAAACCCCAAACAGTCAGGTAAATGACATTCATTGCACCCAAAATAATTCCGAAGCCAATGTGCATCAGTCCAACCACGATCTGGATCGCCTGCAAAAAGAAAGTAGGCGTTTTAAATTTGCTTCTCATGCTTAGGCACCCCTGAAACATGGCTATCATCACTGCTGCTTATTNTTCAAATCCATGCTTCACTGTTTGCTAGCTACATGTCTTAATAGCAAGTTTTTAACCTCTCTGCCATAGTTTTGTCATCTGAAAATGATGCTAATTATAGCACCTACCTCACAGGCTTGTTGTGAGCCTTAAATGCATTCGTTTATGTGTTTAGGTGTGACTAGCATAGACAGTGGACTAAATATTTTCTATTTTCATTATTGCTGTCAAATTAAAGTCAAATTAAGTCAAATTAAAAACATAGTATGTTAGATGGAAATGTATTTAAAAAATCAAATTTGTGGGAAATGCTTTTCTTCCCTAAAGCAAGTTTTACTTTTAAAGTTATGTGGATATACAGTATACCACCCCTCCAACATTTTGGGGCACTATTTAATTCCCAGACCTTCAGGCCATGGAGGGCATGTCTTTACCTTCATTTAGCTGTTGAGCTTCATGGTGAAGGGCAGAGCATTACTGATCACCCACACTACTAAATAGTTGGAACCCAGGCAGGGCAAGAAATTTGAAACTATGTGACTCTCGCCTGATATAACACATCTGCTTTCCCAGGTGCAAAAGTTCTATTCTTCTCACCTGCTTCTTCCTTGATTTTGACTTCTCTGCCTTCTCTTTCCCTATATATTTTGTTCCCTCTGGCTTTTAAAAGAATTGTAAAGCTTCAAAAATGGGTGTGCTTGGCTGTTTCCAAACCATTTTCACACATTATCTCATTTGATCTTCACAACTCTATTGCAGAAAGGCAGATACCTCCATTTTTGATCAACCCGTCTGTCCTTTTCTTTAATTCCCTCCTTATCCAGTTTAGATGCCAGTGTATCATTTTCATAATACTTTGACAATATCTTGAGCTTTTTTGCCTTTCTGGTATTTTATCATCCCCTCCAGCAAAACCTTCCCCCTGGTGGAAATCAAATAGGCATTTTGCCTGGATCCACATCTGAGCAGCCAAGCCCTGCTGGAGTGGCTTGTTCGTTTATAAATTTGAGGCCACCCCCTCAGATGTTCCCTCAGTACAGCCTGGCAGTCCTCTTCTGTTCTTCTGATCAGTTTGTTCTCTATTTCCATGAGGTTTCCAACATTACCCTTTCTGTTCAGTATTCTGACTCTGCCCAAGGTCCCTGCCTTGGGCACGACCTCACTTCTGCTTTGACAGGCCTGACACCAGCCATCATGTCAGAGCCTCTTACGTGCTCATGACCATCACTGCAAACCTGTTAGCATCTGCAACAATGACGTCTTCCTTTCTTTCTGTTACATAGATACACCGCCCTTCCTCATGACTTAGGTTGTGCCCTCCATATACATTTTTGATTTCTTTAAACTTACACTACCATCCATCCGTTATCTCTAACATGTTCAATCTCTCCCCGCCTCATTGTCCCCATTGGCTTTTAAGCATGCCCATGTTTCTCCCATTTCAAAAACAAAAGAGCCAAAACCCAAATAAAACCTCCTCGGTGTACCATCCTTGTCCTGCTATTACCTCAATTGCAAATGAGTTTACTGTACATGAAAACACTCCGTAAATAGTAAAGCTTTGGAGACATCCAAAGGGCATGATGTTTGTTGATATTAATGTACAAAATAATATGGCCTCCAATGAGGGCATTTGGGCATTTGCTTTCTGAACAGAAAGAGGAGGAAGGGATGAGTTAGGAACTGTAGTGACTTAGGCACCCTTCAAATCATGATCAAAGAAACTTTATCAGTCTGCTTTGCAGTGTTTTGTCAAATCTGTGGCTCTACAACCAATATCGAACCAAAAGGAAGTTAAAAAATATACCAAAAAAGGCTTATGTTCCTAGTAATATTTTATTGAGGCAAGGTGAACATTAACAGGAAATTTTCTAACTTTAAGATGGTTGCAGAGTTATTGTTGGTCCTCAGGTGCCAGTGTATAGTGGAGATGGGTAGGAAGACACCTCCAGGGCAGGGAGACACGTACACTTATCATTAGTGACAATCTAAGAACGAGTCTCAATCACAGTCTTTAAAGATTTGCAGTCTTCGTGGACAGTAGAGGCCAGCTTCTTAGGAACGCTCTGCTGAGTAGTTCTACCGCATGAGGTTGCACGATGCTCCTTTTTCTTTTACTACTTAGGGGCACAAGGTGGGTGGCCATCATTTCTGGGAGGAGCTAAGGAGGCCCTTGTGTCATGGGTTGTTTGCATATACCAGGACAGACTGAAAAGAATGAATCCAACAAGCCATATTGTTATTACAACCCTATCTAGCACCCCTGCCCCCCCTGCCCCCACCGCCTGTTCCCATCAGCGTCCAGGGCAAAGAGCGCTCTCTCTGGTAAGCCCACAGTTGGACTTGGCTGACATTGAAGTCTATATTTCTCCATACATAATCGGATGATTTTACAGAGATGAGGCCCAACTCACCCCAGGGGTGCTGGTGATTACTTGGCTGGCAAAATGGGCTGTGGTACAAGTTATGCAGAACTCCACGAGAGAGAAGATCATCAGCATGGCTGAAATTCCTCTCCCGGCAATCTGAAATCAGGAATAAAGACACTGAAATTTTGACTAATCAGGAAGGCCTCAAACAAGCTTCAAAAAGTTACTCAACTTTAATTAACAACAACAAAAAAGTTACCTATTCATTAAATGTGCTATTGCTCATACTCAACTCGCTCCATGATTATTCCTCTATTATCACCAAATGCTTATTTCAGGGGAATGTGAATTAATTTTTGATTTTCTTTAAAATGCCAGGAGACTTCCCTTTTCCCCAATAGGCTGTCTTACTCTTATTTAGGACCATTAGAAAGGAGGTAGATTTTGGTTTTTCTTTGCAAAAAACAAACAAACAAAAAATCGAGCTCCATAGAACACAACCAATCATCCCAAATTCAACTGCCTAGAAATAAGCAAAATTAACTTTTGATGTCTGTTATTCTAGAACTCTCTGTACTGGCAAAAGGCAAATAGAAAAATGGATGCATGGAGAGACAGCGAGAGAGAAACAGCATTGTTCAGGAAGGCAATCATTTTGTACTTACTATTTTGAAATAAAAGTGTTACTTGATTTTAAAAGAATGAAAAGAAGTTAAGTCAAATTAAGCCTGATACAATTAAAATGTTTATGAGACCCATGAAGAAGTTAAAGTTATTTTAAACCTCCAGCTTTCAATTTTAGATAACATGAAGCGATCATTTATTATGAAAAATGAGGTGATTAGCCCTTTTATTTTAGGTCTCTCTCATCTTGGTGATTATGTCATTTTTCACTTTTTTTGAGTAAAACATTTATATTCAGTTCTGTGGTTATAATTTCCCCAGTTGTTCAGCCCTACACTCTTAGATGAATATTTAAAAAATTCAGTGCTCTTCATTAATCTCTTTATGAAGCTTCCCCTAGCTTTGGGA